ATAGCCTGAAAAAACATAAAATTTTAAATCAAAATTTAAGTTCTATTATAACTGTTAATTCATACTTAATAATTAAATTAACGGTGTCAATGCATCCACTAAATCAAATGTTTTATAACTCACGATAATTTAAAATAAAATGGAACCTGTACAGTGTGTCATGAAGAAAATAGTATTGTAGTTCACTTTATTACATAGTCTTATCTATATTTAATTATTAGATTACTTCAAAATATAAATTTAGTAACTTCGCAAATATCACTTGAACCAACTGAATCTTCCATTTGCATTAATCGGATAGTTTCTTTAAATGAGTACATCATTCAGATTGATTCTTTTAGATTGACTCATTTAGATTGAGCTTATGCCTATGCTAGTACAGTGTCTATTAATGGCATATTTACCATTGTTCATTAAATTTAAGGGTACTTCTATAATTGGGGGTAGCGTCCGACTGCCAATGTTTATAACCTTACCACTGATAACCCCCCGTAGATCCGCCCGTGATTTCAGATAGGTATTTGGGATCTTCCTTCTTCTTTCAAAGTTATAATCGTTGTATGTACATATATAAAGCCTTCGGGCTGAAGTCCTCCACTTCTCCCCCTCTCAAAAATGAATGATTTTTAATATTAACGTTGACCATTTCTCTGAAAGTTGGGCTTGCCGATGCATTTACCTTATGGTCAATTATTTCCATATCGTCTTTAATTCCATATCTAAGTAGCCATTCTGCAAAATTAGTTCCACTACGATATCATAACGGAATTTATTATTGGATATCCATTGCAGAGACTCCTCCAAGGAGCGAAGGATGCAGACGGTACGCTTTGACAACAGCACGCTCCACCTGCGCCGCGATGTAGGTGGCCCGGATGAGTCAACCGAAGCAAACAGAGCCACCCACGGGTCGGGCTCCCCCAGCCTTGTTTATTTTTCAGGGTCTCCGGTAACAAGTTTAGGGCCCTCGACGGTCTCTGTGTTTGCAGAACCGGTTCGCTTCCACTTGGCGGAAAACTTTTCACCTTTTGGTCCGCCGTAGTTTTCTTTTATTGCTTTCCGTTGCCTTCGGGCGGGCGCAACGAATCGTCCCCTCTCAGAGTCTCCGAATATTTCATTTGTTGGCAGAGATTTTTCATTCAGATTTAAAAAAAAATTATTTAGTGTATTAATAGCAAATACCTACAATAAAATAATAATTTGTCGTAGGTCAGTAATTTGATGGAGCTTTTCTACCATTCTAATGAATCATTTTTTTTTTAAACCATAATCAGAGCTTTAGAACTCTACAACATTACCCAACATTTCTTTTCAAAATGACGCCCAATCGTGTTTCATAGACCATATCTCGGTTATTTAGGTATAAAGTATAAAGTATAAAAAAAAAAAAGAAATATTTTGGACAGTTTAACAGTTTTTGAACTTCATTATCAGAAAGCAAGAGGAATTTACATTGATTGTAAATACTGTTAACTTATTGTTTTACGTTTTTTTTCTTTTACTTTCTGACACGTAAGGTTTTGTCAAAATGTTTTACTTGTATTTATTCTATACTAGCTGATGAACCTGTCGTTGACGGTATATAGTTAAAATTTAAGAATCTTTTTTTTGAGATGAATTTTTTATTATGGGGGGAGGTTCCAAATCCAAGGATCTCTAGACAAATAACTCAAGAACTTATAACTTCGGTTCTACTCAATATTTCTTTTTCATTTGAAGCCTATTCATTTTAAATCAGGCAAACCTAATATATAATATAACCTAAATATAATAGCAATAATTTCAAAAGTCTACCCTTAGCCATTGCCGAGTTTAGCACTGACAAAATTTCGTTGGACAACGCCGACATCCAGATAGACAACAAATTTTTTAAAAGTGGATTTGGTGTTTGTAATGTATAAAACGAAAAGATATCATAAAACGGGTTGATTCTATTCAATGTCTGTATATAAAATAAAGGTTTTGTCTGTACAAAACCTTTACTTTATTTATATAGATGTTCTTTAACCTATAAACATATATTTATTATCAGCATTAACCGCGATCATTAGACAAATTACTCAAGAATTCATAACTTTGGTTCTACTCAATATTTTGTTTTCATTTAAAGCCTATGTTTTAAGTCGAGCAAACCTTAATATAATGTCAAAATCTCAAATGTATACAATAAGCCGTTGCTGAGCTTACTCCTGACAAAATTTCGATGCAATGCGGACATACTGACAAACAAAACTTTTTTTAAAACTGGATTTGGTGTCTGCAATTTATGAAACGGAAAGATATCATAAAACGGGTTGATTCTATTCAATGTACAGACAAAATCTTTATTTTATTTATATAGATTCACCTTAAGATGTATTAAGTACTCTATTGAAACTGTTATCATTTAAAAAAGTTTTATTGTTTTGTATTTGGTTCAGAAATATTATTTTTTATGTAAGTTCGATTTTCTAAACAGGAAGTGTAACGAAAAATATAATTACATATCTAAGTTTCTAGCTACAACATACAAGTAAATTAAATTTTTGTCTTGCATGTTTTTTTTTTTTTTGTTAATGGGTATAGACACGTTTCTAATTACAAAAAAAAAATCAGTTGAGTATTCAAAACACCAAACCGTTACGTTTCGTTTGACAGGCAAATATGAAAAAATTACAAAAGTGGATTTCTGTTTTAATATGTCCACGCCTTATTTATTCGTCATAAAATAAATAGCTGCCACACAGATTTAGATATATTATTAGTTTCCGAATAACAGTTGAATGTGTAAATTAAAAGTAACAGTTACTTTTATTGAACAAAATGCTGGTTTGTATTGATTATATTCTGTTTTTTACTCCGTATAAATAAGTATGCTCTGCTATTATAATCAATTAAAATATTGTTTTATTGACTACTATTTATTGACTGAGGTATTAAAATTCGGCAAGTTAATCCCTCAATGACGCAATTTATTTCGCCAGTTTTACCGTTGTTAGACTACTAACAGCTAGGGCAATATTTGCTTCCCTGTTCTATTTTTATCACCTCCTCAAATACCCTAGATAAGATAAGAGAATATACATCCATACGCCATTGCTTCCTTTCACTGTATATATATATATATATATATATATATATATATATATATATATATATATATATATATATATATATATATTGGAAGTAATTATAACCTTTAAAAAATTTCAATTAACTTTTTAAATAAATTCTTATAGTTTGTTAAGATTATCTATTTGGAAATAAACGATTCATTACTTCTAATTTTGCTGCGTTTTTATTATATTTTCTCATGAATGGCTCTCGTTAAATAATTATATTAAATTTAAATGTGTTCAAATAATAATGATTTCAAATAAGTATATTTAAAGTTTCGAACTACTTAAATCGTCCAATCCATATTTTACTTTCCTACCTGTACTAGGTAAGGAAAGTACTGCGATCGAGTCAAATTTTCGATATGCGGTTTTTGACGGATCTATAAGTTTCAGAGCCCCCTGAGTCCCCAAAACACATTTTTAAAAACAGTTTTTAATATATATATATTATATATATATATATATATATTATATATATATATATATATATATATATATATATAAAATGTATGTATTAATTAATTGTTAATTTATATGTTATACCCCCACCGGCATGAAAGAAATGGCTTGGATGAAATCAAAAGAATTATACAAAGCTACTTCAAACAGACTTCAAATAAAAAAGCTCCTGGCTATGATCTGATCACTCCCTTTATTCTTCGACACCTACCTCGAAAATCTGTTCTCTTTCTTACACACATCTATAACTCTATCTTACGCACAACCTATTTTCCTTTCCTTTAGAAACTTTCCACAGTTAAAATGATTTCTCTGTTTCCATAGAATCTTCTGACTTCTCATTCTTTCCTCAGCACATTAATGTACCACAAGGTAGCGTCTAAGTCAAATTCTCTGTTCACTATAAACCTCTGATATCCCTGAGCATCCTAGCACCACCATCTATTGCTTCGCTGACGACTCTGCAAAATTCCACCATCGCATCAATTGCCCTTCAAAACCACCTCTATGATCTTCCAAATTAGTTTGCAAAATGGAAAATTAAAATCAATAGTAACAAATCCATCCACGTGATTTAGTCTCTTAGGAAAATCTCATGTCAATACGACATACATACTAAAAGACAAGAACTGATTAGACGAACTCTCACATCTTATGACAGATCCTCACTTAACTTATGAAACAAGCTACTGATCTAGAACACTATGTTGAGACCAATTTGGACATGTGAAGCAGAACTTTGGGGTTCGTAAAAAAAACACACACATAAACAAAATACAAACAACACAATACAAAATTCTAACGAAAATTTGTCAACGCACCTTGGTATATTTCAAATCACATTATACACTTATGGTTAACCTCCTAACAGTAAAATCCTACATCCACGATAAATACACTTCATTTCACTCTTCAATTCTAAATCACTTCAATCTATCAGTCTTTATATTTCCTGCTCCCTGTTACCTGTTACCTGGTCGACGCACATTAAAAAAATGGCTAAGGGACCTATTACAATAAATACGAAATGAAGATAATCAAGCAAACTCGCAACTAATCCCTTATATGTCAAATTTTCTAGTTGCGCTACAGCGCAGGTGCAAATGGCACAAGTATTATTTTTTTAATCTATGTTTACGCTTTGGTGATCCTTTTTCGCTCTCTTGAGAATATATTATATATCATATTTATCAGTAATCCATGAATCAAATCCAATTTGCACATATGTTTAATAAATACTGGAACATTATATGGTAAAGCGGAGGGCAAAGGTTTCCCGAAACCAGCCATAAAAAAAACTATGAACAGTATTGTGTTTTTTTTTAAATTAACATGTAGCCAGTTGAAGGAGAAACAAAATGTAATGAAAAAAGTTCAAAAATTTAAATTAAATAAGATAACGTAATATGAATTAAAGTCTCACTAAAGTTTTTTCTCTTTCAGGTGAAATTGATTTATTCTCGAAAATTTGAGTTTTCTGCACTAAGAGGAAGGTAAGATTCTTAAATTTTATTACTAACTATATATTTATTTTATTTATTATACCGCCAGTTTATTGTTGTAAATCATTCATTAACATTTCATGACCTTAATTTTCCAAATGCCCTTCAGTGTGGCAGACTGTATTAATACTCAATAAAACAATAAAAAAATATTTTTAAAAATGTCCAAGACCTTTGATGAATTTTTCCTTTAAAATCATCACCTATTCATTTAAAATCATGAAATTATGTTCTTGTAATCATTTAAGTCCACTTACTGGCTTTATATTTCGATAAATATATTGAAATTCATAAATAATATTCTTAAAAGTTTATTGTGATTTTGTTATAGTAAATTTATAAATTTCAATATTAAAAATGAATAAAAAAGTTATGAAAAGTAAATCCAAAAGCCTTAAAAATTAAACTTTTTTATTCTTTGTATTTTACGCTATGATGTAAGTATTTAGTGAGTATTTTATTTGCCACTTTCCGGTGTTGTAATAAGCTCTGCCGGTATGAGATACCAGTAACTTAGTTTCCTGATATTATTTCATATATACGGGGGGAAGGGGGAGAGCACCGCCGAAATGAAGTTGGTGTAGGGAGCTCCATAAATTAAATGTATGCCACTGGGGCTTCAGCTCCCAGATGCAATCTAGTGTGGAGTAATTTAATTCGACCCTTGTCGATCAAAACCAGTGACCCAAACAGATCCGCCATATCCCATTTAAGTCCCAAGCTCCCCTGTCTTATAATAAATTCAATGAAAATTCTCCTCCGTCATGACCCTATGAAGAGCTCAATTAAGTAGATGTACATTTATCCAAATTCTGAAATCTAGACTGTAATGGAATGATTTAGGTTGATATAAAATTTATTTACAGCATTGGCTTCTTTGTATGTTAGTGTATAGACGAAAAATTATTCAGAAGTTTCAACGGTCCCCATAATGTTAACCGATCACTAACCTGTTGATGGAATCGTAAAATATATGTTTTATACTTATGTTTATAAAGGAAGTAATTTTTACACTAAAATGTGAGAAAATAACCATAAATAATCATGTTATTTATAAACATTAAAATGAACATATCATAATAAAAGTTGGAGTAATAAATAAATAGAATAAGAAGCCCAAACATATAATGTATAAAAAAAATAAAACTATATCAAATGATTTTTAGGAGTAGATTATCAGAAGTAGACCTCGAAAGTCTGGACAAAACAAGAAAGTTAGAGGATTAATAGTGCTTCAAGGGATAAATTTAAACATGCTTACATTTTGTAGTTATATATGCTTTATAACTTTAAAAGAGAATATATATTGACTGTTCAAGTATTTAAGTCAAATCACTCAGAAGAAATATAAATCGTGAAAAAAATATTACTTTTCTATTTTTCTTGTCATATTTTTATGTTCGGTGGCATTTTATTATATTTTTATTTAATGAGCAATAATTTTAATTTCAATATAGCATCAATAGCATATAGAGAGTAAAATGTTAAAAAACGCAGAATTATAAGTCATATTCATAAAAAATAAAATAAATCAATCAGTAAAGCAAGAAACTGATGTAGATCAACTTACACATTTTATGCCAGCACAAGAGAAAAAATTAAAATATAAACTACCGAAATATATATATGCCTCCATGAAATATATAAAACAACTGAATTCTAATCCCTCTATCCACACCCTTCAATAAAAATTAATTCAGTCTTGATTGAACGGTTAATAAAACAATTAATTTGACTAAATGTCTTCTTATATATAAAATCACTATATTCCTTCTCTCTCTTTTCTTTTATAAATAAAATCAACATTATATTTTTTTTAAAAATCATAAATATTTTTTAGAACTTTCAACAAAATTTCCTGAAATTAGGAATGGATCACTGGAAAAAATATATAAAATGATATTTTTTTTATGAAATGGTGCATGATATTTAATTGGCGTTAATTTATACTAAAATTTATCTTTTTATAGAGAGAGTTTTAAACATAATAATATATAATGTACTTGATGTTACTTACTATATGAAAGTTAAAGAAAGGTTAAAAATTAAAATATTTTAAAGAAAATTGACTAAAATAAGAAAAACATTGCAGATTCTTGAAAATGGCTCTTGAATGCGAAACGCTGGCAAATAAAGAAATGCTATAAAGATGTATTTTATTTGTGACTTGTGGTCTAAAATCATTAATTAAAAGTTGTTTTTTTTTTTACGAACGTTCCTCTCCCTCTTCCCGGGTGTCCACCAATGCTTCCGATCATCCGAAGAAGCTGACAGTACATAAACTTGATGACAAGGCAATATTATGGTGCCACTGGAACAGCATGATGATGGATCAGCTCCGTAGAATGACTCGGCCGATTTTGATGGTCCATGTTGCATACTTTCCTTATAAGACTATGAACGATTTTTTAATACTTAGCCAATACTTAGAACGTTCCTAAAAAGGTTATGGTTTTTGAATATTTCGTTTGAAATTGGAACCTGAGATATTTCTTGTAAACCTGAGATTCGTTAGTGGTGTAGAAGCCATTTACATATACAAAATATTATTGAAATAAAAAAATATAGGTTTTTGGACTTCATTTTATTCGAAATTTAGTTTTCATTGCTGTAACTGAAGCATTGATAATTCCTCAGGATTTCCTCTAAATTCATCTTTACTTCAAACGTTGAAAAGCTGAATAACTGAACCGATAACTTCTATATTTTACACCTTTATAAATAATAAATAAAGAAACATTTATATTTTTTATCTCCACTTCTAATTTGTTTACAGGAGTCTGGTTTGTGCCATTTCATATAGTTCATAGACTATTGAATTCCTACTATGTTTTGTATGAATTGGTTGAAGTTATGACATTTTTGTGATTTGGTTCGATAACTCAAAGGGTATCAGTTATTTTTTTTAACATTTTGGATCGATTAAGAGCATTGTTCTGTCGTTAAAATGTTTATTTACTTATACTACTTTTTATAATTTCATCTCTTCTGGAGATGGCATGAAAAGTGAAATAAGAATTTCTCCAGTTAATTTAGAGGAAGAAAGCAGTATTAGAGATAAAGTTTATCCCTCGGAACACACTGGACGTAGTGCCCTCGGGCTACTGGAGAAATGTTTGCATTGTCCCGAGTGTGGGGCAAGCTTTCGAAAGTAAGCTGTCTATTTCGGTAGATCCCTCCGGCAATGGGGGCTTTGTTGGTTGAGGGTTTGGATTTAGATGATGGGATTATCTAGGAACGAGTATATGTATAATAATAATAGTAAATGTATGGTATGGAATAAAACTCCATAGTTATATTAAGAATTTATGTTGTTTTTCCCCCATTAGATTCGTTAACGGTCTTGACTATAAGAAATGTAATAAAAAAGTTATCTTTGTGCTCAGAAAATGCGGTGGGATTGTATTGTAAATTAAATTTGTTAACTTAAATTTATTTATTTTACTAATTCATATAATAAACTTAACATCGTAAGGCATAGACGGATCTACGCGGGCTGGGAAGTGTCTTTCTCGCTGAAGTCCTCCTTACCACCCCCAAAAAAAAATTGGTGAAATTAACCATTTTTTATAACAAAATATTAGTAAAAGTATTATTGTTCGTCTATTATTACAATTAATAGAACCTCTAGAATCACTTCATATAGAAACACTATTTCATATAAGTACTTTGTTTCTTTCTTTTTCTTCCAATGTAATTATTATAAAATATCCTCCAAAACTCCACACATATATACAGTGGTGCTCATCATACCCCCAAGGTCAATGGCGCATAAACCTCCAACCACACCTCCTAAGATATTTTATTGCTCCCTTCTTCTTAAAATCTGTGGAAGCTAAAGTAGAATTTTAAAATTCATAGGTCATATACAATTACACTTTCAGTGGTTTGTTCTATGCTTTCGTTTTTTTCCCTGATTTGAAACTTTTCATTTGAAAAATAATAACACAGTCAAAATATGTCCCCTAAAAAATTCAAAACTCCGTCAATATGTGCTGCGTTCAAAACTTTTTATGCTGCCATAAAACCCCCTTCTGGACACCCCCTATATATATATATATATATATATATATATATATATATATATATATATATATATATATATATATATATATATATAAAGCATTATATTATGGATCCGTTATTGCCGTAAGGAGAAATTTAACAAAAAAAAAACTACTATGCTTAACCGCCATGTTTCCTCCTTAATCAATTATTTTATTGAAGAGTACTCAGTTTATGAAGGGTTGGTGTGCCTCGAAAGGGCATCCTAATCCCAGGATTGATCCACGGCTGCTATAATAGTATTCAGTATCATTGAATTTACTCATTTTGCGAATAAAATTGAAATGAGTTCTGATCCAAGTGACGCAGGTGGTACAGGTATACTTAGGTATCGCGCCTATTTATTTTATAATATTTCAGTTATGAATAAAAAAGCATTTTTTGGGCACTAATACAAATCTTAAAAATGACTGCGTCCTGATAATTTGTCACCTATAACTTAATTAATCATATTATATTTGTATATTAGCTAGTGTTGACGTCGCAATGTCGTTACACATAAATTGAAACTATTAAAAAAATTGAGATAGGAAGAGCATTATGATAAAACCTATTCATGTGAGATAATAATCGCTTATACTGAATAGTGTTGAGGAAATTATTTTTATAAAGGATAAAAAAAACAGTTTGGATTTATTATGTGACTCTTGCGATCTGATTTGTTAAAATCGGCAGAGATAGCATTGTCGTCCAAACGGGACTGTGCTTCACATAGCCGAGAACCATCGTTTCCAGATCCGAGATAACGGCGGAATCACTCCCTCCCTTCCAGCCAGAATCTCTCCTCTCCGGCCGAAACCATCTTCACAGTGTAATGTGTTCCAGAGATAACCATCTTGTCTGGCCATGATGTAACATCCTGGAAGCAGTCCAGTGTGAACAGTTCAGTAGAATTGTCCGAAGACCTCGCTAAGATAGGAAGTGGCGTTCTTTCCTTGTCTTCTTCTGATTATCGAAGGGATGGATATGTAGTATTAGTTTCATCGATGTTATAAGCAATATTGAATATCTTCGATCAATTGATTATAAAAACATATTCAGTACCAGAAACATTTAACATTTATTTCTTTAAGTTAAAAAAAAATTAAATTAAATGAGAAATTAACAGTGATTGGACTTAGATCTTTTTTTTTTGGGTCGCGAGGAGTAGAGATTTTTTAGATCCACTTTTTGGCAAAATCAACAGAACTTTTAAACCAAATATTTAAAAATAAAATAACGTTTTGTAAAACCTTTACAGTAGTCCCGAAAGTGATTAAATCTGAAAGTTTAAATTTTTTTCAAGCCCCGACTAGTGAGTATTTTAAATGCGCCAACTAATCAAGATGGAGGGGACTCAATGTACATGTTTTTAATTAATAAATTGAAAAAGAAAGTGAGATTTGTATAAACATGAATGATTGCCATTAGCACTGATATGTTATCTCCAGTCGAGCTCTATCTATTGATAAATTAATGAAACATTATTTCTTTGTATGGAAAAAATAACATATACTCAAGTTTTATATCAAGTTTAGTATGAATTGCGTATTTTGAGTGATTTACAACAGAATGCGCTGTGGGCGACATGATATATTTTTTTTAATATGATTTAATTTTGTGCTATTCATATTTGTTTCTTGTTTACTAAATCTGTACTCCGGAGGTGAAGGATGCCATATCCATTTTGTATTTGTTCAGGAAAGAAAATTTTCCTTAACCTTGAGCAGGGATGCCCATAAGAGAGTTTTAGGTGTAAGTCGCTCCGTCAAAGTTTTTGAGAGAGCATATTTTGACGGGTTCTCGAGTTTTTGAGGGAGGGCACATTTCAATGGGGCTGTGAGTTTTTGGAATGATACATTTCATACTAAGGCGACAAGAGGAAAACGTGGAAATCCGGCAGCAAATATAATTGTGTACGATCTACGACTTTTCTAATTCTACTTTTCATTGCTCTGTTTTTAAGAAAAGGTAAGCAGTATAATATGTTGTGAGGTAAAGAGAATAGGTTCTTGCGTCATGGAGATTGGGAGGGATAGGCATCACTGACTTTGAGCAATTAAAATTTGTTTATCAGTTACCGAAACTGTACTACGGAAATAAAAATACTTTGTATTTGTTCATCATTCATATGAATGATATTGCAGATTAGGCCACAAGGTGGAAAATTAAGATAAATTTAAAAAAAAAGTGTGCATGTGGTATTCACTCTTAACCATAAACTTTCACCTGAAATATATTTTAATAACATTAAAATAACTACATCAGTCGTAATAAGGTATTTAGATTTTTACCTGGACAAAAGAGTTACTTGGAGGACTCACATCAGACAAAAACGAATAGAATTAAACAGACGATACGGTCTTTTATCCAGATTACTTGACAGACGTTCAAAATTATCTTTAACTAACAAACTAACCCTTCATAAAGTTTTACTTAAACCTATTTGGACTTACGGCATAGAACTGTGCGGTTCTGCTAAAACTTCCAACATTAAGAAAATTCAGTCCTTTCAGTCAAAAGTGTTGCGAAGGATAGTTGACGCACCGTTTTATGTCGCATATGATACACTACATATAAAGACTTAAACGTACCTACAATTTTAGACACTGCAAAGGAGAAATACAATAACTTTCACCAAAGGCTGACGTACAACATGAATCCCCTGACAGAAATTCTTCATCGTACAAGAAACCCGTACAGCCCACTACGAACATTACGTAGGCGTTGGCCAAGATACCTGCTGATCTATATCCCGGACGTCATGGGAAGCTGTGAAGCTGCCAAAAACTTTGCACATTGCAAAGAAATTTGCAGATTGCAAATTTAATCAAATGTTCTACATTTTTGTTTCGTTAATAAATAGGTATTTGTTTAGGAAGTCAATTTTCCATAACTTTGAGCTATTAAAATTTATTTATTAGTTACTAAATTATTTAATTAAAAAATGAACACGATGTACTTTTTCTTCGGTCACAGAATTATGTGTGAAATTTTCTCGGCTCAGATCTCAAATGTTATCGGGATTTTCCATATAAATGTTCAGTCCATAAGGTTTCCTTTAACACTGACGGCCCATGAATGTAACAAATATTTAGTTTATCAACTTCAGTATTTCAATTACTAGGCAGCTGTAAAATATTACTAAATTCAGTTTCATAAACTCAATAAATATGACATTTTGTGACACTGGATTCTCAGGAAGTTAGAGGAGTTTTCGAGCTGAAACCCTCTCCCCTCCAAAAAAAAAAAAAAAAAAAAAAAAAAAAAAAAAAAAAAAAAAAAAAAAAAAAAAAAAAAAAAAAAAACCTTTTTTCTAATTAGTCTATATAAGGTATTTGCTTCTGTGAGTGATCTAAGTTACATACTTAAACAATCACAGTATGTTCTCTATATAGCTACTAAAAGTAGGCCCGTGTCCAGATAAATGTATACAAAATCCATCACTTCAATTTAAATCCTCTGTCCACTCCCGAAATACCCTTTCCCGGTCCTCAGATTTATATATAATGGCCCACCGAACCGCTGCTTTCGATAAATCTGTTATTATTCGATCCTCTTTCCTATGGAACTCCATCCCTCCCCACATCCGTCAATCCAAAACCCTTCCTACCTTTAAATCCCAACTGTTTAATCATTTCTTATCCATCCAGTCATCATAAAATTGTAAATAGTTACTACTGTAAATTTGTATATAAATTATTAGATCGTTCTTTATTTTTTTTTACTTCATGTTTATTTTCAATTTTTTTTACTTTTTATTATTAACTGATGTAAATTAGAAAGTAAATTTTTTTTTTTTTTTACTATTTAATCAAACTTCTTTGTGTATCTCTGTGGCTCCTTAGCCCACATTTTTGTCTCTCTGTATTATTCTAAAGGGACTCGTCCCATAATAAATAAAACATTATTATTATTATTAAAAGTAATATTGTTCATATTGCAACAATTTTTTATTTTAACAGACCAGCATCAATTTTTTTCTGAGTAATTACCGTTACATTATTGTTTTAAAAAATGCCCAAAATTAAATTCTGAACCCGTTAGTGGCTTGTAATAAGATTTCTCATAATATATCACAAATTATATCTGTTATTAATCAAATAATTACGAATCGACCTGTACATCCAGATCTAACAGATAAAACAGCTCAGACAAAGTCAATATTCATTAACAGTTGCAAAGCAAAGATGGCACTCCAAAACATTCAGGACATTGACTTCTTATGCGCTGAGCGTTATTTTGAAAATTTAATACTTCAAAATGATACAAAATAACTTTAAAATGACAATTACTTAAATATGAAATATTATTAAATACTACATATAATCTTCTTAAAAACAAGTTCAATGAAACATGTAATTGGCTGAAATATATTCATAAGTCATTAACATGGGTACATAAACTGGGATCGCCAACTTTTGGTTTTATTTACCTCTTTTGCACTCAACGTGTGCAATGGAAATTCGACAAAAAGCAGAACCTACCGTGAAGTTATTGCTTCCTGTTGATGATGACGCCCCCTCCCCCCCTCCAGACCTAAATGATGCCGCAACTTCCTGCAGGAGTGGCTCTGCCTAGGTATCCTTAAGGGCTATGAGGAAGCCCTATTTTGGATCCTGAGGCAACCAATGGCTATGAAACAGTTAAAGAATGCATTTCACCAGAAGCTCCAAATTTCTTTATGGCATGTTGATAACATAATAATGATACGTTCATGATTATCCGCTTTTCAAAGACGAATGAGGGTACCTGAAACAGCATTTATGTTTATTTATTATATTTGTATTACATATATTGCCAGTACCATGTTACAGTGACGAATGTGCAATGGTGGACAGGTTAATATTCGTTGCTTTATACCAATGTTTCCGGTGACATTTCTGCTTTTATTAGTTACAAAAGTGCACCGATATATTTAAAAATATACTATGAAGTTATAATTATAATTCATGTCGAATTTCCTTTCTGTGGATATGGTGTTGCCAATTTACTTATTACTGTTTATGTATCTAAATGATAGGATGCAGGAAAAATGCTTTTTTTTTTTATTATTATTATTTATGAAATTTATAACTGTATACAAATTCATCATGTATCACATTCAGCAAATGTGATACAGATAAATACATGACATGACAAGGCTTGCAAAGAATCTACCCATTGGTAGCACTCTGATAAAGTTTCTAAATTAGGAGATCACGAGGCCATATTCTTTTCAGACGCCTAGGAGGGTTATCTGGAATCGAGGAGAAAGCAGGGTTAGAAATGAGAGGATTAGGATGGTTCTGAAGTTTATTATGGAAGGATAGCTACCTGGATTGGGCCGATTCGGAAACATGAGGAACATTAAGGTCGTTGTGGATGATTTTATTAGTGACATTGAGGATTTTACGAAGGAATTTGGATACGAGAGGAATTCGATGGTTTAGTGGAGCCCCAAAACTCAACTCCGTAAGTCCGTAACTCCGTAATAGGTCTTATTATGGCCATGTATATGAGTATTTTGTAATTAATTGAAAGGTTAGGGCGTTGTCTAGTAAGTGCTGAAGTGGTCGGAAACGTCAGGCGGTTTCTTGTCGTTTCAGTCTGGTATAAGGTTTCCAAGTTAGACGTTTGTCCTGGTGGAGCCGTAGGTATCTGATTTGTTCAACAGGGATAAGTGGGGTACTGTAGACAGGAAGCCATATGTTTACGACGAGGAAAAAATGCTCAAAATCATATTCTATAATGAAATTATTTATGATTTAAATATTATATACACAAATACAAATTAAGGGCATACAATTCTATGATAAAGCCAGTTCTGTTCTATGGCTGTGAGACCTGGACAATAACCAACACCCTAGAAAAAAGTATAAGAGAAAAATCTTCCGCACAATAACCGCAGCGCCATATCGAAACATTCCGGCTCAAATCAGGATAATGCACATTAAATGCTAAAAATGAACACTTTCAAGTAACTC